GAATTTTCACACCATCCAATGGCTTTACATTACTAGGATCTGTCAAGAAACAGAAAACAGTGACTTTTATCTTAAAAAAAAATGAAATTCAAGAGTCTTTCTCATTGGTTGTCTGAAACACTGTTTTTATGCCACTGTCCCCTCATCTCCCTCCCCAAATACAGGATAATAATCTCCAGAGAGATTTCTGTTAAACAAGTTAATAAGTTTTGGATTTTAATACAATATGCAGATTAAGGAGTATTGTGAAAACATGCCTATCTAGGAATGGCCATGTGTTTTGCACTTTCCAAGCCTTTAGGAAAATCTCAGGCTGCCACCTCCCTTCAGTGCTGCACACCTCCGTGAGTTGCAGGTGTTGAAAAACAGTTGTGCTAGGTAAACACCACCAGCCCTCCAGTAGAACCTCAGTCTTATCAAGCCAGGTGCACTGTTTGTTTCAGTGACACTATGTTTACCAAAAATATGTAAACAGCTTTACTGAAGAGCACAGCTCCCCAAAAGTAAAAATATATACAATTTCAATTAAAAAAAAAAAAGTCCACCTTCTCTATTCTTTCCATGCCTTTTAGAGTTGCACCTTATTATTTAATGGCTCACACATCCTCATCCTGAGCCGATATTTAGGTTCGCTACCCGCAGCTGAGTTGCAGGAATCCATAAAGATATTTCTCAAAGAAGCTACCAAACATCAAGATTAGCCTGTATTTATGCATATGTATTTATGCATAACTAAAACTGATGAACCCTTACTAATTATCATATCACTCACATTATGGCATCATCTAACACTTCATTCAGGGATTAGGACTCTTCCATAGTTGGAACAGAATAGGAAAGCACAACTTGGAGACAAACAGACCATTGTGAATTTTTTTTAATGCCAATAAATAACAGATGTCCACAATAATGAAGAAATGTGAGAAAGAGGAGAGATAAAAAGTTTCCTTTGGAAAATCTGAGGAAAATAATAGACCTGTTAGTTTCTTCAGACCAGAAGATCACAAATGCTCACAAAGAAAATATACAGGACCTAGATTTGCATTTCAGCAAGTCAATAATTTGCTGAAACAATTAAAATAGAAAGTGTTTTACTATCAGAGAAGCAGCAGTTCCAGTACACTGATCCTGAGTACAGGAATGCTATCTATTGCAGGAACATAAAGAAACAAAACCATATCACAAACAGACACAAGAGACCAGAATTGATCAGTATTACCTAGAAACATCTCCTGGACTTTTTTTTGGTTAATTTTTGGTGTTTTTTTTCCTTTAATCACTAGCTTCCAAAGTGGGTGTGTACCCCCCAGAGTTTTTTGTTGCAATTCTGGCACAATAGTCTAAATTTTCTGAAAATGTGAACTCACATTTTCTCTTGTACTTTTGCTTTTACTTATTCCAGTAACTTGATGACTGAAAGAAAAATCCACTCTCCCTGCTCTAACTATATCCTATATGTAAACTCTCAATTTCCATGATGCTTGAATTTACTGCTGTGATGGTTTCAGTCTAGGCCTTCCTGGAGACCAGCTTGTAACCAGGAAGGAACTAGGAAGGTGAACACGGAAGTATTCCATGCTATTCCTTTACGTAACCTGGGGTATAAATAAGGCATAGATAAGAGAGCTCGCTCTCTTCCTTTCCGGCGAGGTTACAGAATAGTGGGTCCCTGTCTTGGTCTGGCTTATCTGGAGCTGAGGCCTACAGTGACTGCTGTTGTCTGCCACGTGTGAGAGGAGAGTACTGGGCTGCGTCCAGCCGTCCTGCTTCTCTCAAGGCAAGTGGTGAGATCTTGCCAGTTCTTCAGTTTGCTGGTTACCGGGTTTTTAGATCGTGTAGACCTGTTTTGTTTTTGTCCCTTTTTGTCCTATTTTGTCCTTTTTCCCTTCTCCCTTCCCCTCTTCCCTTTGGGAAGCTATTTAGGGTTTCTGGGGTTATAGATATATATAATATTCTCACTGTATATATCTCTTTCATATGTAAAATATATATTTTTGCTAGAACTTTGGCTGCTTGGGTTTTTTTCCTTCCCTCTCTGGGAAGCAGACTCTGTTGTCAAGTTTCGGAGACTTGGCAGGAAGCCAGCTCGAAAATTGCACAACTGTGAATTGGACTATCATATGTATCTTTTATAAATAACTTCGATGAAGAATAAACCGACCCAGTTACTCTTGATATGATTTACATTCTTTAGTTAAGCTCAGTAAGCTATCCCAAGGTTGGCCTAACCTAACAGTATGAGTAAGGAACAAACAGAGAACAGAAATTAATTTTCATCTCATATTCACAAATGATTTCCTTTATACTTTTAAGTGACAGAAAAGGACACCGACAAGAGAGCCAATTAACACATTTTTGCATCAATGCAAATTAACAGATCTCATTCCAATTACATTCAATTCCAGAGGACATGGCTCCTCAAGTCTATTGTCTCTACTTTGACTGCACAATCAATATTTTTTACTTTATCCATGCAGCAAGTTATAATCAAGTCCATCACTACTGTGGATTAATTCATGATCAATGGGTACATTCCAACGTACACACTTGATACTTTCATCGTGGGAGACAGAACTGCAAACTTCCTTTGATTCTAATGCCACTAACGCTATTGTTATTATTTTTCTATGTCACTGAACGAGAGAAACGTGAAACTATAGAAGAATTACTTTGTTGCAGCTTGGGTTTATTTTCCTTCATTTAAAAAGAGAAAAAAAAGGCACAACTGTACAAAGTTAGATTTTTGTAACCTTTGAAAAAAAATCAGGCCTGAAACTGGGCATCTGGCACTTCCGCCGCCTCCAAGAGCCGAGGCTGTCCCGAGAGAGCCGACACGATCCGTGCCACAAAAGCTCCGGAGCCTCCGGCAGCGCGCACGGCGGCGGGCAAAGTCCGGCCGCGGGCAAAATCCGGCCGCGGGCAAAGTCCGGCCGCGGGCAAAGTCCGGCCGCGGGCAAAGTCCGGCCGCGGGCAAAGTCCGGCCGCGGGCAAAGTCCGGCCGCGGCGATCCCGCTGGGAGCCCCGCTGGGAGCCCCGCTGGGAGCCCCCTGAGGCTGCAGGAGTTGCTGCGCTCGCCAGCAGCGCGGTGGCTAAGTGCCCCCGTCCGCCGCCCGCCCCCGCAGGTGTCCCGCAGGTGTCCGTCCCGCCCGCCCCCGCCACAAAGTGAAGCGGCTCTGACCCCCGCCCCAGCCGCATTGCCCCAGAGCCACGGGCAGATTACACGGGCAAGGGGACTCAACGCGGCGAGAGACAGGAGGCTGAGGAGGAGCAGGAGGAGGGCGCGGCACGGGTACCTGCGGGGGAAGCGCCTCCGCTCCGAGCCCCGCCGCCGCTGCCGTTGCCAGGGGAGGCGGAGGCGGTGCTCAGGGCTCTGGCGCTGCCGCCGGCAGCTGCGGAACACGGGCTCCTCCAGAGCCCGCCGCAACGCCCGCTTCCTCTTCCCAGCGCGGCGCGCAGCATCTCCGCCACCGGAGCCACCACTGACCGCCTCGGCGCAGGCGCCGCCGCCGCCGCCGCCGCCGCCGCC